TTTACAATGTTAGTTTCGGTTGTATAGGAAAGCGATTCAGTATATACTTATACATACATTTTTTTTTTAGATTCTTTTCCGTTATTCGTTATCACAAGAAATTGAATGTAGTTCCCTGTGCTATATAGTAGGTCCTTGTTGTCTATCTATTTTGTATATAATAATGTGAATCTTTAATCCCAAACTCCTGATTTATCCCTCCCCCGCCCTTTCCCCTTTGGTAACCATAGTTTGTTTTCTATGTCCATGAGTCTATTACCAAACAATAGGATCTTGATTTCTACTTATCAATTAATTGAAAAAAAGAACTGATTGTTTTGGTTAAGCATGAACTTTGGAGTCAGAAACACCTGGATGGATTCAAACCTAGGCTCTGATACTTACTAGCTTTAAACAGTAATTTTGCCTCTGTGAGGAGCCTCAGATGAGGTGTTTTGTTTGTTTTTTGATCTGTAAAATGGGAATAATAACAGAAACTATTGTGGTTCTCAGTGTGGTTCCCATACCAGCTGCATTTAATCACCTGTGAATTAGCCTCATCCCTGACATATTGAATCAGAGATTCTTGGGGGTGGGGTCCAGCAATCTGTTATAAGAAGCCTTCCAGAGGGTTCTAGTGTAGCTCAAATTTGAAAGCACTGGTATGTATACTACTGGGCTCTTTATGCCTAACTAACTATATATATATACATATACATATAAAATGATAATATATATAAAATGTTAATATATAATTATATAACACACCAAATACTATATATATTTAACATAATTAATATTGTATATAATATATGTACTACAATATGTATTCCATATAATGTGCTAGGCATAAAAAGCTTGGCACACAATAAGCACTCAACAAACAATTCTCATTATTGTTATCACTATTGTTTACTATTGATAGTTCTAGCACATTCTGTCTGATATTGAGTTGGAAATGTATCTCTCCCCCCCTCATATCCTACAAACACTGTACATATTAGGGAGGTCCCCTAATGCCATCTATCACTGACACAGCTGCCCTTTAATGAGATGGTCTTCCATCCTCTCCTTGCTCACTATTTCTCCATGCAGTTTAAACCCCCTGGTCTCCCTGCCCATACCTGCATGCCAATTGGGTTTGTATTGTGAAAACCTCTCCCCAGTTGCCTCTTCTCCAGGGTCCATCAACCGTGCTTAGGTCTCTCCCCAGCTGCAGGGCAGCTCTCCAATTTGCCTGAGCCTCGGATGAGGTCTGACCAGCCCTGAGGTGCAGGGAAGGTTTCCTTCTCTAATCTGGGACCTGCGTTTCTACTTGTCTGCCTAGCGTTTGGCAGCTGCTTCACCCAGATGACTCACTATGGTCTGAGGTCAACCAAAACCCCCAAGCCTTCTTCTCAGGAACTGCCTGAGCTCTGTTGTTTGGGTCACTCAGTCCTTGATGTGTGCAATTCATTTTTTAAAAATAGCATTTACTTTCGGATTACAAAAATAATATAGGCTTGATGCAATAAGTTAGGAAAAAACGGGGAAAATAATCACTGGAAGTAGTTATTTTTAAATGGACTGATTTCAAAAGATGAGCCTATATTTTTGTAATCAAGAGAAAAAAAAACCACCCCACAGTCAAGCAATTTCTGTTTCTGGGAGAAGAAAGAGAATTGGAGAAAACAATACTAATCTACCATAGGGAAACTGTGAATTCTAACATGTATAGCTATCTTGTGTCATACATAAGTCAGTATATGTCAATTTATAACACTATAAACTCACTTCTCGGAGACTGTCATTGCTAATATTTTGGGTATAGCCCCCAGGCCTTTACAATTAACATTTTAACATTTTTAAACTTAAATCTAGGTCTAAACTTGGAGGTAGACCTGGTTGAAATCCTGACTTTTGTATTTATTGGTTGCATCACCTTGGATTATTTATTTAAACTCTTTCAGGAGGCTTCAGCCTCAGTTTCCTCATCTGTAGAATGAGAATTATAATAACTACTTCCCGAGATTGAAGTAAAGACGAAAATTAATAGAAATAAAGTGCACAGTGAGAGCCTGCAAACAGCTTATATTTGGGTTGTTACTATTATTAACTTCACCTGACCAACTGTTGCTCCCTTCCTGATCCAGGTCAGATGCCACTCCCCTTTGTACCTTGCCTGGCTGCTGTCAACACTTGACCTCCCTCTTGGTCTTGTTACTGTCCAGTGCCCTTCCTTCTGTGATAGCATTGGACACAGGCTGCTGCCTCCTATACTCTTAAACTCCTCCAGAGCAGAGACCATGTCCACGTTGTTCATTTCTGTGTCCCCAGGGTCCAGCAGAAGGTGTGACCCAGTGTGGCTGTCAGGAAGTGTCTAGTGAGAGCAGGTTAGAAGGTTAGAAGATTAGAAGTTTCTGGGATCAGAATTTGTTGAGGGAGTGCATGAATAAACTTCAGAGAGGTTGAATGCATGAATAGATGAGAGTATGAACGAAGTCAGCAGCAGCAGGTGTCGCCCACCTGCCGGACCCTCCTTCTCCTAAGGTGAGTGAACCTTCTACTTCCCTTGGTGGGCCTGGTCAGGGAGGGGGGCGAGGCTCCTGCCTGGCCCAACCTGGGATAGAGGCCCGTCTCTCACACCTGGCATCACAGGTGGAAGTGCCTTTCAAGTCCTCCGTGTGCTGGGTGTGTAGTGGGTAGGGCAGGGTGGAGGCGGGGATGGAGGGTCAGGGAGGCCAGCCTAGGCTGGAGGAGCAGCCTCTGCCAAAGGGGAAGGGGCCGGAATCTAGGCACCCACACAGCCGAACCGGTTTCCACAAAGGTGGCCCCCAATATCTGTGGTCCCAGCCCAGATGTGAGCTCTGGAAGGGTCCCTGGCTGTCCTAGAGAGCTGAGAAACCGAGGCCTTAGGGACAGGAGGTGGCAGCCCAGGTGTCAAGGTCCAAGCCTGGTGGTGCTTCCTGCCACCAGGTCTGACCCCAGCCAGTTAGTGACCTCCTGCGTGACCTTCGCCAAGACAGGTCTCCTTTCCTGTTCCAGATTCCCCATCCTGGGGGCCCCTCTCTGCTTTGGTACGATTGCATATCTTAACTCTTTCCCAATCTCCACAAAATCTCCAAAAGCGAAACAGAAACTCAAACCTGATATTTGCCACTACTGAGCAGACCCTCAGAAGGAACAGATTGCTCAGTCAGACAGTAAAGTCATTACTCTGGGAGCCTTTCCTGCTTTCAGTTTCCTTACCTGTAAAAGGGCCATTGATAATAACTGCTGCCACCCACGGGACGGCTGTGAGAGTTAAGTGAGCGGGTGTATGTGAGATGCCTACAGGCAGTGGGAGCATGTTACTCCTGCTCTCAGGGCTGCTGGTTTCAGGCCTGGCCCAGCCTGAGGCCACCCCCCCCCCCACTCAGTTGTGGCAGCGGAGGAGGCAAGAGGGCCTCCTGGGACATTCCTGAGCCTGGTGTGGCTACAGCTAGATAAGCTAGTTTGGGTCCTCTGTGCTGGGAGCCTGGCTGGTCTCAGGGCCTGTGGGGAACGGAGTTTTTAGAGAAGGAAATGGTTGTGGTGAGACAGAGTGATGGAGCAACTTCTCTTGGGGATCTGGGTGGAAAGCCCCTCACTCCTGGTGTGTTCTCAGGGTGGGTTGTGGGGCAGGCACTGGGGCGGGGCCCATCCTCCATCACTGTCAGAAAGTACCTGGTGTTCACCAAGTGCTGTGATAAAGGCAGCAACAGGTGTCAGCTCATGGAGCCTCAGGCCAGCCCCTTGTCATCTCTGGACCTCAGAACCTCCCTCTTCCCAGAGAAGTTTCCCACGGTCACCCAGAGGCTGGTCCCAACAGTCCAGCCCCTATTCTGCCACTCCCAGGGACAGCCCAGGGAGATAGGAATTAGATTCTGATTTTCTGGGAGACGTGGGAGGTTGTTTCTCCTCCCCTGGATCTCACTACTGAGAGTCAACTTACATTTGGTTTGGCAATGGTATTATCTTGGACCCAAGAGACAGTGGCCAAGACAAGTATTTTGTAAACTCTGGGCTTGGGGACAGTAGAAAGGCCCAGACCTGTGGAGAGATGAAAAACACCGGGACAGTTGGAGGGCTTGATCACTATTCACTGAATAGCCTGGAGAGGACCCAACCTTCCTGTGTTTCTACTTCCTCATGGGCAAAATGGGGACATTCCTCTCTGGGCCTCTCATTGCGTCTCTGTAAAATAGAAGGGGGAAGGGCTCCAAGTGATTCTCCTTCTGGCTGTGACCCCAGGCACACGCTTCACCTCTCTACATCTGAGTTCCTCCATCTGCCCAATGGCCATTTACCCCTCCCCACTCTCAGTGTTGCTGAGCTCAAATAAGGTGAACAGGGAAGAAAGTGGACAGTGCTGCAGGCACAGCCTGGCTTCACCTCCCCCTACTCCCTGAGGAATCTGGAGGTGCTATTTTCATGGTGCTGGAAGTGACCTTTAGAGTCATCTCTCTGAGGATCTGCTTCCAGACCTTCAGTGGCTCTCCAATGCCCAAAAGGGATCAAGGACCAAGCTCAGCCTCCTTTCAAAACCCTCTACCACTCACACCTAATTCTTACCACTCTCCAAGACACACCAACAGCCTTCTTCAAACAAGCCTTTTACTTTTCCTCCTCCAGATCTTTACTCTTTTTTTAGGGGGGTGGTGGAAGGGAAAAGGTGGTAATTAGGTTTACTTACATGTATATTTTTTGGTGGAGGTACCGGGGATTGAACCCAGGACCTTGTACATGGTAGGCAGGCACTCTACCACTAAGCTATACCCTCTCCCCTAGACCTTTACTTTTGATTTCAAAGTCCCAGCTGCACTTGTCATCTTCCTTCTAGATCTGCTCTTCCTCCAACTGTTCTCAAAATCAGAGAGGGCTATCCCCATGTACCCAGGAGCTGAAGCCTGGAAACTGGGATGTATTATTCTCAACTCTTTTTCTCTCACCCTCCATGTTTAACTAGCCCCAGGTCATGAAAATTCTATTCTCTGAAAATTCATCCTCTGTATCTCTCATAGGTACTCCAGGACCTTGTGGAACATGTGGGGACATTGTTGAATAGCCACACACCTTCTCCATGCTAGGCCCTGTGCTGATAGTGGAGGCACAGAGGTGGGTCCATCTTTATTCCTTAGAGGCCTCAGGCTGGTGGGCAGAGGGTCCCGTCACCACACTCCTGAACTTGCCTATTCAATCCTTTTACAGTTTAAGCCCCTACACAGTAGAACACAGTAAGACCTATAAACATGGGTTGACAAGAACTGGACTGGCTGAGTGGGAAAGCCCTTTCCCTCTCTGGACCTCTGTTTTACCACCTGCATAATGGTGTGGAATTGACTTGAAGAAGTTGGGGGCTTTTTCAGTTCCAACAATCTTGAAAGCAGTGACTCTCCAGGCCACGGAGCAGGGGAAGAACGGAGACAGAGGCATAGCTGTTAGGATGCCTGGCTAGGGAGGAGGCGCTCCTGCTCCTGCTGAGAGTTCCTTTGGATTCCCAACCCTCTTGCCCTCACCTCTTCTCCCAGGAGGATGTAAAACCCTTTGTAAAGCCTTGCTGAAACAGAGAGGCTGCTGTTTAGTCCTTCCCCAAGCCCTGCTGGGTTATCTGACTGGCCCAGGGCCTAACCTGGCTGGTGACTGGCTGCTCCTTTCCAGCTGGCATGGAACTGGAGTCCAGGCTAGGAAAAGAGAGTCCTGGATCTCTGCCCAGAGGCTGCTGCAGCAATGGGTTTTCGAGTCAGATAGTCCTGGGATCAAACCCCAGCTCTGCCACTTCTTAGCTGTGAGGCTGTGATAATTTTATGTGTCAACTTGACTGGCTCACAGGGTGCCCAGATAGCTTCAGACTTGGACTGGAACTGAACCACCAGTTTTCCTGGGTCTCCATCTTGCTAAGTCACCCTGCAGGTCTTGGGACTTGCTGGCTTTCATAATTGCAGAGGCCAATTCTTTTTTAAAAAATTTTTATATATATATTCTCTTATAGACAAAGTAGAAATTTAAACATAAGTGCATATATAGATATAAGCATGGATATATATGATACATATGAATATATATGGATAGATATGATATATGTGAATATCCTATTGGTTCTGTTTCTCTGACTGATATGAATGCTCTGGGCAATTTGCTTGCTTACTCTGAGCTCTTATTTTGAAATTTGTTAAAAAATGGAAATAATAATTTATACTTCCCTGCTTTAGAATTCCCATTATTTACTGAAAAGAACTCCAAATCTTCTTTGCAAGTATTTCAATGCTTTTCTCTGCCTGCCCTGGACTGCTTTTCTGAAACTCATTTGACCCCATCCCTAACTGGATGCTCCAGCTCTAGCTGGACACCGTTCCCTTTCCAGCCCCTATGCCTTGCACCAGCTGTTCCCTCCTTTGAAATGCACGTCTTCTCTTTTGTCTACCTGGTAAACTCTCACACATCCCTCAGGGTCCATCTCCAAGGTGTCCTCGTGTCGGACCTTCTCTCTTTCCCTGAGGAGTTGCCCGTGTCCTCACAGTGCCAGGCACACCCCTTGTCTGTCACATTAATCATGCCATGTTGGGGTTGGGGGTCTGTGTGTCTGTCTGCCCAGACTGTGAGCCCCTCAAAGGCGTGACTCCAAACCACTCATCTCTGTGCAGAACAGAGTGATGGTTTCCCCTTTGTGTTGGATCAATGTTTTTCAGTTTATGAAGCACTTTCAGATCTAGGAGTTCATTTAAACTCACAGCAACCCAGGGAAGGATGCAGAGTCAGGATTAAGGTCCCCAGTTCATCCCACCTCCCCGGACAGGGCTTTTTCAGAAAGGAGAACTCAAGTGGGGAGAGGGAGTTGGTTCTTTGGCTTCTAAGGCCTGCAGCTCAGCAGGGTCTTGAAGGGCAAGGCCCGCTGGGTTGGGGGAGGGTGGGTCCCAGGCTGGCAGAAGGTGCAAGGGCAGATGGAGGCCACAGGAGAGGGTCGGGGCTGGTTCTAGATGTGCCCCTCTCCATGGAGAATTGTCAACATTTCTCCATCTTCAATCTCTTCAGCTCCAGAAAATGTAGCTCTGAGGGCCAATGTGGAACACGTAAGATAATCAAGGAGTGAGTGCTCTGGGAATGAAAGGGACTGAAGAAACTCCATACATACAACAAATGTATGCACGGAAATATATTTGAACCCTTCAACTGTTCCCATCTTTCTTACATGTGATCTGTTATTGTTAGAATCCCCTCCCCAAGGTCCACAGTATCCAAAGACCCCCTCCTTAGAACCCCTAAAAGATCCTCTTCATAGGGCCCTAGAGACCTTTCCTTTAGGACCCAGAGGCCCCTGAATGGAGTCGAGACCCCCTTAGGGTCCAGAGATACCTATCCCACTTCAGGGCTTGAAGGCCCAATGCTCAAGGGCTTGCAGTTCCCAGGTCTTTCTGATGGTGGTGCCCACATCCCCGAGAGGCCTGTCCAGCCCTTGCGTAAGGCTTATTATGCTCCATTCATTCAAAAGCCGTTCTGTTTGCAACATGAAGGGCAGAAAGAATCAGTCTGCTCTGAGCTCTGGGCTACCAGTAAGGGGTTCCTGGGCATCCTTCAGCTCATCATGGGGCTGTCCCCAAGTCGAAAAGTTCTCTTGAGTAGCTCTCATGTCCCTCACGGAAGTTGTTTCCCAGAGAAGTCCCTTGGGTGTCTGTCATCCCAGAGATGGTCTGGCCCAACCAAAGCTGGGAAAGACAGCAGCGATTTTCCTCCATGATCTCATGAGTATCTCAGAGCCCAGACATGTGCGTTCTTGTCCGAGTTCTGACTCGCTGTGCGGACGTGAGTGAGTCATTTGGACTTCCTAGGTTTCAGTTTGCCTCTGGATGGGCAGGTGAGCTCTACCTCAGGGAGGATCTGGCAATATCAAAGGTCTGGAAAGTCTCTGCTGTTGACATTTGAATAATGGGAGAAAAATACTGATGGGAGGGGCCTGTGAGGCAGTGGGCCTGAGTCAGTTCCCCTTTATGGCCAGATGACCCTTGGACAAGCCACCTTGGACTTGGTAACACTCTTCCCCCTGCTGCTTCGTTGAGTAACTCTGCATCCTCAGGTTTGAACTGCAACATTGCTTCCTTAGGAATACCTCCTCTGTCAGCCCAGAGAGCTCAGCTCCCTGTTAGAAAGTTCTCCAGCTACATGTATTTTTCTAAACAACCAAAACGATAGTAAGTAATTCTCGGCGTGCTCCCTGTTTAGCATTTGTCCTCTCAGCTAGAATCTGGGCTCCTTGCAGGAATTCTGTCTGGCCTGTTCTCCAGAGGTCATCATGGAGACTGACTCACGGGAGCTCAAGAACTGTTTCTGCATCACCTGGTGGGTTCTTTGCATCTCAGCCGCCTCACTGGGCTGCTGGAGAAACCCAGAAGATAGAGGATGAGGCCCACAAGGGTGAGGTGTGCTCTGTGTGAGGCTTTGTCTGAGATTGGAGGGGATGTAGCGCTGTGAACAGGAAGGCAGGATGGCCTGTGGCCTCAGGAAGGGAGGAGGTGGTGTGGGCCACCTGGGACCCCAGGGGCTCCATCCCTTCCAGCTGCCCGTGAGGCCCGTGTGTGGGCCCTGCTCTTTCTGTCTGAGGAGCCTTCAGCTGTGCCTCCGCTATTTGGTGCTCAGTTCAGCTCCTTGCCGCCTCCCACCTGCCCGTTCAGCCCCATTGCCTCCAACACTGACACACTCCCCTCCCCACTATCTGCCACATGGTACTCACGTTTTTCTCCACAGAGCCAGTCTTTTCTGCCTCCAGGCCTTGGCACAGGTTGTTCCCTCAACAGGAATGCACACCCTCCTCCTCTACCTGGAAGATGCAAGACATGATCCAGATCCGTGTTTTTCCTGTTCGGACACCTTCCAGGCCACTGCTGGCAGAGTCAGCTGCTCCCTCCTGGGAGCCCACAGACCCCGTCCTTGGGTGTCCTGCTCTCTGGGCAGTACAGTACCTACTACACTGGGCTGTGATTGGTTTCCCTGTCTGTTTCCCAGCCCTACACCTGACTGGGAGCAACCTGGAGGCAGGGGTCAGCTCAGCCCTGCTCTGTGGTCCCAGTACACAGCCCAGGGCCTAGTGCCAAGGAGAGATCCTAAATAACCTGGGGCCTGGGTTTCCTGACAGAAGAGACTACTTTTTGGTAGTCTCTTTTTTTTTGGTGCCCTGCCCACCTTAGGCCATATGAGGAAGGAACGTCAAGGACAGGAGCCATCTTATTCATTCACCGTCCAGGAAACTGAGGCCCATGGAGGGGTAGGGATGTGCCCCAAATCCCACAGCACATTAGTGACCAAGCTGGGCCCAAACCCAGGGGTCCTGGTACTTGGTCCCCACTCAGCTCTGGGCTGTAGCAGCCTTGCATAGTGTCTGGCACTGAGCCAGGGTGGCTGGAGGCCCCTGGGGCCCAGGCCCTGCAACAGCCCACTGTCTCAGCCCTTCTGGCTGGGCTCGCAGCCAACTGCATCACACGGCTCTGGATGGCCCTGCCAAAGGTCGCTGTCAGCAATTTGGGGAGGTGGCCAGGCCACTTCCCTCTGGGTGGCTCAAAAAACAGCAAGGCCTAGAGCAGTGTCTCTATTGGACTATGGGCTCTGGGCATGGCTTTCCAGCTGGACAGTGTCCTCCTTGCCAACCTGATTAGAACTTGATTAAGCCTGAGGTAACAGTCCAAAGTATACAGAGCAGAACCCGGCATTGAATATGCACTCAACAAACACTCACTAGTATAGCATCCTTATTATCACTATGATGATGGCTGAGAACCCATAGAGCACACAAACTAAAAGCACAGGCCCTGAAGTGTGCCAGCCGAGGTGCTAATCCAGGCTCCACCACTTACCGAGTAAAGCAAAGTACGTAACTTTTGTTTTTTAGTTTTATCTTTTTACTTATTTATTTTTGTTGGTGGCGAGGTAATTCGGTTTATTTACTTATTTTTTAATGGCTGTACTGGGGATCAAACCCAGGACCTTCTGCATGCTAGGCATTCACTCTACCACTGAGCTATACCCTCCCCACCCATGTAACTTCTTTATGCCTCAGTTTTTCAATCTTTAAAACAGGGTTGTGGAAGAATTAAGTCAGTTGATATGTATAAGGTAATTAGAATGGAGCCCATACAAAATGATCACTAGTGTTAACTTGTTATTAAGTGGCCCAAATCCCTGGACTAACACAGCAGCCTCCTCCCTGGCCTCTCGATCCCATTTCCTCTACATTAAAACTCAAACTGACCCCATCACTCCTTCTCTGTTTGAAAGTCTTCAGTAACTGGCTCTAGGACAGGTTTATGTCCAAACCCCTTGGCCTGAGGGTAAGTTCTGCTCCTCTTCGGCCCCTGCCCGGTTTCCTAGGTTCATCTTCCCGCTCCCTGCCATTCCTCCCATGCTCCAGCCGTAACAAATCCTTGCTGTCCCTGGAGTGTGCTGTGCTTTTTCATGCCTCCGTGCCTTGTATAAGTTTTTCTTCTTTCACCACCCAGCAAGTTCCTGCTCCACTTTCAAGGCCCAGTTCGATGTTGGCTCCTGCAAGTCTTCCCCAGTGCACCCATAGTTACAGGTATCCCCCGCTTTTCAAAAGTTTGCTTTACACCACTTTGCTTTTACAAAAGACCTACATATTAGTATCTGCTTTTGCTAACCAAGAGAAATCCAAAGGGGATTTTCACTTTTACATAAAACAAGGCAAAATGTGAAAATAGTGTTCAGCATTTGTTACACAGCCAGTGTTATACAGAGGCAGCGTGCACCTGGACTGGAGCAGTGAGAGTGGCACGGCCACGCTCCTTCCCTGGGAACTACACTCAGCATCTCAGCATCGAGCTGCCATAGTTTTGAACTGTGTCTGTGAGCACCTCTGCTTTATCTTGGTTTACTTTGTGCATCTGTGTGTCCTAAGGTAATTGCTTCTTCACCTTACATCATTTTGGCTT